TGGAACGTCGTGTAGTGCCAGGAAACACGAAGACGCCGAATTTGGTCCCGCACCACCGCCGCTGCCACTGCTACCATCTTCAACAGCAGCAAAACTAACAATAATTAAATCCACTAAAACTTACAATTAAATAATTATTTAAAATTCATTGCAATTTTAATTAAACAACTATTAAATATTTATCTTTTATATAAAATATAACAGTGATAGACTTCAGAGAAGCATAGGAGCCACTTGGAAAAGGTCTCTGTAACTAAAGCTGGAACAATTTTGCAATAAAGTGAATAGGATACTACTAGAGTAAGCACAAAACATGAAACAAATATCCATAATCCCATACTGTTAAAATGATTGAATAAATACCCTTTCCGCAACTACCGTGGACTATGCATAGCGAATTTGCAAAGGCAGCAGTGGTTGAGTCAGAACAATAATTTTGCCCTGGAGAAATCTGGGGACACTTCTTCAGCCACATGATAATAGGCGTCACATTGGTCACATGCGCGAATGATGCAGTCAGTCCGTACTTGCCTCCATCTTTCTCGAGTCCATTGGCTCTCGTATTTTTTCCCCTACTTTCAGCCCTACGGAGACCGTCATTGGCCAAGACACTGGTCCAACTGGACAGGGCAGTTGCTTCTTGTTCCTTTTTGTATGTTACTGTTGCTATATTTTAATTTGGGAAACATTCATTGTAATCTGTAATGTGACAGACATTGTGTGAGACAATAAAATAAAATAAGTATATTCATTACACATGATCTGTAATAAAAAATTTGTGAGCAGTTAAAATTTCCATACTAAAAAGTTGATTGTACATACTTACTGTATGATATGATCAAGTCTTGAAAGAACAAAGTAAGTCTGTAACCACTAGCACTTCTTTTAATTTGGCAATATCTTAGGAGAAATACGTAGTATTAAATTATATGTGAAAAACTAAGTTGCAAACTGTATGTTATAGTTCATTTTGGTAGAAAAAATTTAAGTAAGCATATCCAACACTACAGAAGATTATTAAGGAAGTTTTAGCAATAAATGGTTTTGTTTTATTGCTAGGGCTAAATGAATGCTTTTGTTTTATTACTGGCCTAAATGAATTCTTAAATAAATAGGAAATAATAAATTAGACCCCCAAATATTTAGCTACCCAATTTTGAAATTGTTGTACTTCCTCAACTTGAGGAGCAAAAAAATATGTCGAGAGTTATTAATGGAAATATTTGAGCATTTAGAAGTCATCATGATTAGTTTTAAAGTGGAGTGGACTTGATAGAAAATCTTCCTCCAAACTGCAGTACAGCAGTCTCTTTTTCCTGCCTTTGCCCTGGTCCCCATGCTTGTTCGCTGCCACCACACGGTGGCAGCACCTGAATGATGCCTTCATTTCCTCTTGGTTATTTCTCCAGTTTGCCGGAAGCTGAGTCAGTACAATTTCAGAGACTTTGAGATTTTCATGCCAAGACCACCAATTCACTATGAAAATATTCTACCTAAAGAAGAAAATATCTAATGTTTGGTTATCATCAATGACATTTATATGTATTTTAGAACAGTTAAATTTTTCGAAAAAACCTTATCATAAAGGTATCAAATAATTACCTTCAGTACTAGTAATACTTTTATAGAGCAGTAAATTTTGACAGTAGCAATATTTTCTAAAGTAGTTGTGCTTTTATATTTAATCCCTTATTAAAATTAAAAGTAAAATACAATTCATGTGCTTTCTGGGGTAGGTGGGAAGAAAGGCAGAAGAAGCCTTGTAAGACAGTATTGTTTATCTTAGGGAGACAGATGGTGAGTGTGAAAGACAGTACCTAATTTACACGGTCATCATTCTTTGCCTGTGACCTAGCGCCTGGTCTAGAATGCATGAACAAAATTAATAATTACCTTCTAGTCACCATCTGATGATTCATCTTTTTTGAAGCTGCCTTTTTGATGAATCCTTAGTATTATCATAGGCATTTTCTGAAAACTATGCATAAAACTCTTCTAAAATGGGCTTTACTTGTTTTCAATATCTGGAGCACATGGATTGAATATTAATTTAAAACCATTTGAAACACCCATGTTTTCCCAGTATGTGTATGTGGTTTTGAAACAGTTTTTGTAGCTCCTGTGAATCTTGTGGTTCCCAGGGAGAACACTGTGTGAAATGGTTGTTTGTTGCACTACAGCAATTTAAAATACCACTGGTCCACTATGGTTAAGAAAAGCCTGCAGATACTCTGGATTCTCAGATTCACTTTAGCTGCACACATAACTACTTTTTTTTTTTTTTTACAAGTTACTTAAATTCTCTAAAACTCAGTTTCCTCATCCATAAAATGAAGATAAAAATTCATCTCTTACAGAGTTTGGAACGACTTGCCACAATAATGTGTGTACTGAGCTCAGTGCAGTGCCTGCAGTTCAAGTGTTACAAAGGGTGCCGTAGTTACTGTTATTTTGATGGAGATGAGAGAGTATACTTCCATAAGTGGGAAAACGTAAGTCTGCATAGCAGGGAGACAGTTTTACAATGGCAAAGAGCCATGCTGAATGGGAAAGACTGCATAGTGATTAATTAGGAATTACAGACATATCTTACAGGACAAATATAGGCGTGTGTGTGTGTGTGTGCGCGTGTGTGTGTGTAGTCTTGAGGAGAGTAGCCTTAATCTAGAAGATGGAATGGATGCTTCCAATCCTGAGCCTTATTCTGAATCCCACTCTATTTTGTTGCTTCTGAAAATTTTCTCCACCTGATGATATTGTGTTAAATAAATATATGGCAAAGCTCACAGAGTGAAATAATATTTTGACTATTATATTTCAGACATTTCTGACTATTTTCAAATACATGTATTCTTTCACATATAATATGTATAACATTTGGCCAAGTTCCCAAATCATTACTTTTGGATGGTTTGGTATCTAGTAAATTTATCATAAAATGTTGGTCCAAAGGAAAACCTGACTACAGCAGTGTTAAACAAAATATCAAAATTATTTCCATTTCTTGAGGAGAGTAAGATCTAAATATAGAAAAATGTACAATTACTTGTTTCCATTGACATCCTTATAATTTTTTATATAATTTTTCCTTATAAAAATTATGACAACTATCACCATTGTGATAAATGGATTCACAGTTATACCATTTGAGTCAGTGGATGTACATAAAGTGATATTTGTATGTTAGTGTGTTGGCTAATAAAATGTTATTCCAGGAAAACATAGACTCATGAAATTAACAAAAGATTCATTTTATTCTTTAAAATAAAACTAAATAATTTTTTGCAAAATAGTGTTAACTGATATATGAAGTGGCATGATGCTGCTTTTAAAAATCCATTTATGTTTTCTCCACCCCCTCATGGTCTGCCTGCCCAAGGGAAATTAAATATTGTTACAAATAGACAAGCTAAACTGAATGCTAAGGGGCAGATATTTTTCTATTCCTTGTCATCTCTTTCATATTTTGTGTTGTATTTTCCCGCAGCTTACAGATCTCTTAAAAGTTTTTGCTTTGATGTTAGTTTTTCTAATGTTCCTTCTAAGAATAAATTCAGCTTTAAAATGATATTCATATCAATTTGTTTGTTTGTAAATTTATTTATTTATTTATTTATTGGTACCAGGGATCGAACTCAGGTCCTTGGGCTGGTGGAGCATGGGGAGGAGCCACTGAGCCAAGTCCCCGGCCCCTTGTTTGTAAATTTAATCATGACTTTTGAAAATATTCTTTGGCAAAATGAAGTCCCATGTCATGAGCTGGATTTCATTTCAGAATCTCAAAGTTGTTTAATATTATAAAATACATTAATTTATCCCACTACATTTATAAATTAAAGGAACAGAATAACAATGGATTCAAGTTACTGGATAGTGTTCAACCTCAATGAATGGTACAAGTATTCTTAGCAGTCATTGAATGGAGGTACACTTCCTTTCATGATACTTTCCAGAGGTTTAGGGTAACTTAATAGCTATTTAAATCCAAGAAGGAAACTGTGTTCCACCTCCCATATAATTCAGCAAAACAAGGAAGTTCTGGTGTCTATAATTAAAAATAAAATGCAGTGAGCCCTTGAGTTATGACTGGCCTAACATACCAACGAGGGTTACGACCAGAATTTTAGTTTTAACTTATGAACAACGTCTTGAGTTATGACCTGAATGCTGGCTGCTTGTGCTTCCAGATGGTCTCAGATACAGATTTAGCCCTTAAAGATTCTGGAAGGAACATGACAACATCCTTTCCCGTGCGGGGTTGAGAAGTCCTGTGTCTTTCTAAGGACACTGAGATATCTGCCTGTACACAGGAGAGAGATTTTGAAGGCTGTGTAGAGGAGCCTGAGCCTTCAACTGACCAACTTGAGTTACAGCCAGCTCTCAAGAACCAATTGAGTTTGTAAGTCAAGGGTCCACTATATATAGGTTAGAAAATTATATATCATATGTATTAGATATTATTTTCATTAACAAAATGGTCTGATTCTAATGATGAACATTAGAAAGCAAAATCTTGCAAACTTGTCATAGATACTTAGCATACAAAAACACAACTGCTTTTCTATATAACAATAAAAATCAATTTGATGATGTAGTTTTGTAAAAGATGCTATTCATGAGAGAAAATTATAAAATAATCAGGAGAGAACCTACACAACCTGTGACAGGTAAGCCAGACCCTTAATTGATTGGCTTGAGAGCCACCTTGTCAGTAGTATAGCTCAGCTCTGGGTGTGTCTGGGGGTTCATAAGGGTGTGACTGTCCGTACTGTATGTGGTCCTTTGTCTTTTGACCTCTGGCACTGTGCGACAAATAAACCCTTCCTCCGTTATGTTTGGGAAAGCTGACCAATACAGTACCTCTGTAAGCACTTTAAGGAAAATTATGAGACACAGTGAAAGTAGCTATGTGCTTGTGAGTGAGGCACAGTATCAAAGATGTCAAGTCTTTGTAAACTATAGATTCAGAGCAATGAAAATTAAAATCAGAATAGGTGCTGTTTATTTATAAATTGACAATCTGGGTTTAAAATACATTCAGAAGAACAAAGTGAGGAATAGTCAAGAACATAAGTTGGAGGATTTCCCCTAACAGACATTCAGATACAGTATGTAGTTGCAGTAATTAAGAGCGGCGAATCAATGGATCAAATACACAGTGGCTTCAAGAGGGCACGAGTTTGCCTTTCTTCCTCCTGAGTGCGTAGATAGATGGGTGATCCAGGCTCTGAGGCAGTTCACACGGCTTTCGATCTCAAGTTCCGAAGGGGGCTGAACGGTGTACTATTTAGGTGGCAAGCAGATTCCCCTAAAGTTAATAATGTTTTTACTATTTCAGGAGGCGAATCAGCGGTGACAAGCAGACTTCCCAAACTCATCTTGCCCCTTCACTTCCATTCCATCCCTTATTACAAGTTTGCTTCTTACCATTACAACGCGTGTGCTAGCTTCCCTTGGTCGGAGGTGCGCCTGATGCTCCAGCCCGGCACCCGGCTCACTGGCCTGACGCTCCAACCTGGCGCCCTGTGCTGCATGCCCCCGTGTGGATGGCCTTTCCGTCTCGTCCGTGCCTGGTCCCCCAGCACCCGGCACCCATGACCGGGTGCCCTCCTCATTCTGTCCGGACGCCCGTAACCGCGCTGCCCCATTGGTCTCCGCAAACCTCTCATTCCTCTGTTTGTGCTTTAAGACACAGTTGCTGAGGAAGGAAAAGAAAAGGAAAGGAATGGAGGGGGAAGGAGGAAAAGGAAATTTAAGAGGAAGCATAGAAAAGGAAAGAAAGAAGTGGAAAGAAGAGCAGTCTTTCATTTTAATAATTAAATGTTTAAAACTCTTAAAATAATAAAACACTTGATCATTATTTTTTTCATAGGTTTAATTGAATATATTTGTTTTCAGGTAACTTCTAGATTACTGAGAATTTTATTTTCGATTAACTTCAAGCTAATCGCTTTTACAAGATTATTGGTTTGACATCAGGAAATTTAAAAAAGTTTAGATTGTAAAATTTTTATTTAAATATTATAGGATGTAAAATTTTTTATATTCGAAACCTATTTAAGTTTTTCGGTTCACATACATGTGTGAAACATACATACATATACATATATATTTTATGGTAATAGGAAAATAATGCATGGATTGTATTTGTCTATTATGTTAACTTAAATATTACACTTCATACTGTTTCCTAGTGTGCTTTATTTGCAAAATGCTTCCATAGTCCTTTCCTTAATGTTTTGTTTTGTTTTGTTTTTGTTTTTGGTACTGGGGATTGAACTCTGGACCTTGCGCTTCCGAGGCAGGTGGCGGCACCACTGAGCTAAATCCCTGGCCCCCCTTAATTTCAGTTTTGGCATCTGTAGTTTCACTTACCCATGGTCAACTGTGGTTCAAAATGTTAAATGGAAATTAAAAAATTTTTTAAAAGCATGAGTTTTAAATAAACTTTGCTACAGTACTTTGTTTAAGTTGCTCTATTTTATTATTAAATACTGTTGTTAATTTCAAGCTATGCCTAATTTATCAATTAAGCTTCACCATGACTGTATATAAAGAGAAAAGTGTGTCAGGTTTGGTTTTAGGTATACATTGAGGGTCTTGGAAGTATTCCCTGTGCATAATGCAGGACTGATGTTTTGCTTGCTCACCAATTCAGCAAGCAGACACTGAGTATCATGATCTGATATTATTTGGGAACTTAAAATGCAGCAGAAAAGAACTAAAAATATCAGACCCCCCTGAAATAAAATAAAACATGGGCAAGTTAAATGAACAGACACTTCACAGAAGTACAAATGGCTGACAAATACATGAAGAAATATTCAACATCTCTGGTCATTGGAAAAATGCAAATTACAGCAACAGATTCCATCTTATTCCAAGAGAAAAAAAGGCCATCATTAAGAGATGAAATAATAATAAATGATGAAGAGGCCGTGAGGAAAAAAGGAACCCTTCTCCACTGTTGCTGGGAATGTAAACTAGTAAAATCACTATAGGAAACAGTATGGAGATTCCTCAAAAAACTAAAACTAGAAATTGTATTGGACCCAGCTATTTCCCTCTTAGGTATCTTCCCAAAAGAATTAAAAACATCATATTGCAGTGATATCTGCATGCCCATGTTTATAGCAGCACAGTTCATAATAGCTAAATCTTAGAAGTAGCTTGTATGTCTAATCAACACATGATATGATAATGAAAATGTATTTGGACACCATGGAGTACTGCCCTGCTATAAAGGAAAATAAACTTGAGTCGTTTGTAGGAAAATGGCTGCACTTGAGATCATAATATTAAGTGAAATAAATCAGACACACAAACTTAACTAACACATGGTTTCTCTTATATGAGAAATCCACAATATGAATAAAGAGCAAGATAAAAGACAAATTATAGGAAATAGGGAGATAGATCTTTTGTAAATGGGAAGGGGTCCAAAACATGGAGGGAGATGGGAGAGAGAGGAGAAGGGGATGAAGAAGTCGTGTTAAAGTACACGTGCCAACTCCTCAGGAGGAATGCAATCTCTTTATGTTCTGTGAAGATGTACTAACAAAAAGTAAAAATTGAAAAAGAAATGTAACAATGAACAAGACTGATGCAATTTCTACCTTCTCAGAGCCAACATTGTGTGGAATGATGTCTGCTGGAAGCAAGTGAGACTGAGAAATATTTAATACAAGAGATTAGAGAATCATTGGTCTGGCAATGTTTTAGGGAGAAACATTTGGATGGGATGATTTCCTTGGAAAGAATAAGCACACTTAGGGTAACAAATTCAGATATCTGATTTTGAGCAGTCATCCTGGCAAGAACAAAGTACTCTATCTCCTTAAATCAAGGCTTTATTTTGCCTAATTTAGTCATTTCTATTCAGTACATCAGTATCTAGATGAAACATTTCTTCTCAGGTTTTCTCCTGTATTCCCAAAGTTCAATCCATATTTCCAAAAACTTTTAAGTCCATGTCCCTGTCAATGTTGCTCCAGGTAGTAGTAATTTTTTTTTTTTTTTTTGCTGTGGGCCAACCCTATGCAAATAGATATTCAAATGAACATTCACCTCTATTTTTGACATTGATGAGAGTCTAGTGTTTGTCTTACATAGACTCCCTGTAAAGAAGGAATTGAATCTTCTCTAGCTCTTACCACTAGCACTGCTTCTTTCCTGAAATTCTCTTTGTTGAACAAGTGGCAGGGCAGGCAGGATGAATCTCCCTCAGAGCAATTTGGCTTCCAGTTGAGGTTAAAAAACTTTTCCAAAGCATCCCTAATTCCCCACTAAAAGGAAGTCCAGGTAATGGTGCAGGTGAGATGCTTCCCAATCACTCTGCAACTCAACTTGCCCCTTATCTGCATCTTCATGAGTCAGCTTCCTCACATCAGCTGCCTTACAGTTTTTCTGCATATGAGAAATGCCAAGAAAAAACTTTGGGGTTTCTATTGTTTGGTCATAGGGAAAGGCAGGATGTCAGGGAACACTGATTATTATGTCACTGTCAGATTTTTCTACCTACATCCTCCAGTGCTATTCATATTTTTGTTCAATTCAGTGCTCCCCTTATATAGTCTAGGGAGAAGGAAGAGTTTATATCTTTTAAACTTTTAGTTCTTTAGATTATCTCCTTTGTCCCACACCATAGTAGTAGTTATTGAAGCAAGAAAAAAAATCAGATATCTTTATTTTAAATATCTTTATTGCTCCCAAAGAAGAGAGCAAACTTGATGATTCAAAGTATTGGTTTCAATAAATTTATTATTCATCCCACCATCTTATCATGAAAATAGACATTTAAAAACAGTTAAAATTGCTCACAGAACTGTTTCTTTTAATTTCAGCATGGTCACTTGAGTTTTTGTTTTTATTTACTATCCTTGGTAACATCTGTATAAGTACAGCGCACTAACCGATTGCGCCACTGGAGCTCCAATCCTTGGTAACATCTAATTTCCTCAGAACTATAGTCTGGTGTCTGTAATTTATTTTGGAAAATTTTCAGCTATTATCTCCTCAAATATTTCTTTTTCCTTTTGTTCTCTTTCTTCCCTTCATAAAAGTTCAACTACACGTATGTAGAGTATTTTAAAATTGTCTCCTTAAAAGGGTTATCCTCTAGTATTCTATTTACTTAACTGCCATAAGAGTATCACTATGAATATTCTCATGTCCTCTTTGTATATCTAGGTTTCTTAATAAATTATTTTTTCTTATTTTTCTTTTTTATATTATTTTATTGGTACATTTTAGGTACACAATAAAATGATATTCATCATTGGAAATTTGCACCTTTACATAATCTCTCTTGGTTCTTATTTTTCCCCATTCCCCTGCCCTCCCTTCAACCCCTCCATTCCTCCCTATTT